GTGTGTGTGTGTGTGTGTGTGTGTGTGTGTGTGTGTGTGTGTGTGTGTGTGTGTGAGCGCGCGCGCGCTGGAGCCTCAGAACTGTTGCAAGAAGGGAAGGCTCCACGGCAAGAAGTATGACCACATTATGACTAATTAGCTATTAATCATTAATATAATTAATGTTACTATTAGCTAACAAGGTAGCATTTATCCAAGCTCAGAGCCAAGAGAGAGTGTCTGCAATTGTACGCTCGGGCGTACAGGGAGAGAAAATGATTCGGGCAAGCCGAAGGCTCCATGGGAAAAGACCCAAGGTGTCTAACCCTTTCCCACCAGAAACCAAACTTCCTCAAGTTCTCCACGCCTTAGTTGGAACTCCTTCCGTTGCTTTTGCTGTTTATTTAGTTTGTGTGTATAAGTGTTTTGCCTGCACTTGCACCTGTGACTGTTGGAGCCCCTAGAACGAGCTGTGGGTGGTTTGCAGGCCACCGTGTGGGTGCTAAGCTTTGAACCAGGGTCCTCCGCAAGAGTAACAAGTGAACTTCTGAGCCAGCTCTCCGGACCCCTTCCTCTATCCTTAAGAGCATGTTCTTCCACTAAAGCTGACCCCCACAGCATGGAAATAATTTCCACAGAGATCCAGCTAAAGTTTTCTCCCAGAACAGCCGGCCATAAACCCCACTCACCCAAATCCTCCGGGGAATAAAATGACCTGAGTCTGGGACAAAGCTAAGAAAGAAATTGAAACTTTGCAAATAAAGGGTCCAAGAGCTGACTCTTTCTTTGGCCCCTTCCAGAAACAGATGTTCAGATTTTATTATACTTGGATTCCAGACTCCAGGGATCAGGGGTTTTGGAACTTAGGGCCATGTTTTTCAATAGAGAGTGTTCTCCGTGGATAAACACTTAAGTCTGTATCAGGTTGCAACAGGTGGGGAGAAGATCTTCAAGCAGAACAGGAGAAAGGAAGCATAGGTAATAAAAATTAAATTCAGTGTGAGAATGAATGAGGGTTCTGGCGAACTCCTAAGGTCTTCTTGGACACCCGAACCCTTCCTCCACCCTCTGCTGGTCAGTCTGTCCTGTTTGAATGGGAGTATGCAAAGCAATAGCCAAAAAAAGAGGTGACCTTTCAAGTGTCCAGCTCTCCATCCACAGACTGTCTGGATTCCCCCTCGTAAGCACAGTTTTGTATTAATTCAGCCTTCCACTTCAACAGTGCTTCCTGGTTTGTCTGTTTGTTTTAATTATTACATTTTTGTTATTTATGTTTCTGTACGTGTGCGGTCGACCACGCCGTGTGTGCAGAGGTCAAAGGACAACGTGTGGAAGTTGGTGCTCTCTTTCTACCATGTGGTCCTATGCATTTGAAATCAGGTCATCAGGCTTGGTGACAAGCAGTTTTACCCATGAGACATTTCCCTCGCCTCTCTCTCGCTGGTCCTCAAGGGGAGTTTCTGTCCATTATCTCATCAGATGTTCCAGCTGCCAGGGCAGACAGAACAGGTATTTTTCCCAATGAAGGAAATTTAAGCCAAGGAATGTTTTGACGGCTTAGCCAAAGTCATGCAAGCCAGTAGACAACAGAGACAAACCAAGACCCAAGATCCCTAGTTCCCACTGTGCTAGTCTCTCAGAGGGTTTAATAAGACCACTGGGGGAGGGGGAGATGTCACATAGCCTTTTTTAAAAAAAAATCATTTATTTTTATGTGCGTTGGTATTTTGCCGGCATGTCTGTGTGAGGGTGCCGTGTCCCCTGGAACTGGAGTCACAGACAGTTGTGAACTATGTGGGTGCTGGGAATTGATCCCAGGTCCTCAGGAAGAGCAGCCAGTGCTCTTAACTGCTGCGCCATCTCTCCAGCCCCTCCTTGCATATTCTTAACAGGTGACGACTGGTACCTTTGGCACATGATAGAAAGGAGTCCTGATATTCAGCTCTGTCTCTGTAGCTTCTGTATATTTTCCTCCTTCTTTCTTTCTCTTGACCCCTGAGACTTGCCTCTCTCAAGAAACCTTTAGTACCTAGTGTTTTGCAAGTGTTTGGGATTCAGGCCTGGTTAACAAGATCCAGCTAGGAGCACAGTTCCTCTGCTCTCATTTCACTCTTTCCCCTTCCCCGTGTTGTCTCCTAGTGCTACTGAAGCTTGTCAGTCACTGCAGGAGACCTTCAGTATACATCCATTCTGGTTGCTTGGTCTTGGATAGCTCTTCACAAATTTCTGCAATTAAGACTGTGTGTCTGTGCCAAGGGAACCCACCCAAATTTCTTACGTAACTCACACTTGCCTCAGAAACTCTAGGTTGCTGACAGTGACCTGAGCTCCTGATCCTCTTGCTTCTACCTCCCAAGTACTATAGTTACAGGCATTCATCACCATGTCTGACTCAAAGCAGCCCTCTCCCCCTTTTTTTAGTGGAAACAAGGTCTCACTATGTAGTCCTGGCTGGCCTGAGACTGACTGTGTAGACCAGGCTGGCCTCAAACTCACAGAGATCCAACTGCCTCTGCCTCTGGAATGATGTGATTAAACATGCACCACCACGCCTAGCCCCACATTAATATTCAACAGCCAATAAAAAATAAGGTCCTGATTTCAAGAGTCACATGGGCAGAGCTAGAACCTGGGTCTCCAGGTCCAAGTCCAGGATATCTCTAAGCCTATCCTGCAGCTCTTTGCTGGATACCACACAAAGCAAACTCAATAGATCTGGTCTCTGCCCTCTGAAAGTCTGGACTCCGGTGGACAGCCAGGATGCCAACAAACATAAAAGAACAAAGCCATTTATAGTCAACACATGCCAATAAGTGAGAGAGTTCAATAGATAAGGAAAGCTGGGTTTATCTGGTCTACTAATGTTCTTTTCATTCCAGTCAGGCAAAAAGAACAATATTAGTAAGACTAAGGTTTAGGTCTAATCTCAATCTGCCTACTTACTTTTCACAGATGAAAAAATATTTGTACGGGGTAGAGAGATGGCTCAGTAGTTAGAAGTACTTGCTGCTCTTTCAGAGAATTTGGGCTCGAGTCCCAGGACCCATGTGGCAGCTCATAATTATCTGTAACTCCAGTTCTGACCTCCACAGGCACCAGGCATGCACATGACATATAGACATACATGCAGGCAAAATACCCATACATTGAAAATAAAAATAAATAGGACCAGGCATGAGTGGCCAGGCAAGAAGGCATAGGCAGGCAGATCTCTAGGAGCTTGAGGTCTGAGGCCAGCCAGATCTACAGGATGAGACCTCCTTTCTTCAAAACCAATAAGAAAAAGAAAACAATGACAAGTAAATAAAAAGGAAAGAAATGGGAAGGATGATGGATGTCTGCCTTCCTCTCTCTTCCCAGTCAGTAACATCTTCAGCATTATTCTCTATGCAAGGTCTATAGTGATGGCAAAATGATAGATCAAGTCAATATCCGTTTTAGTGTTGGGGCACACGGTAAAGATTCAGTTCCTATAAATGGAGAGGTGGACTTCCAAATCTGAGATAGTTTGGTCTCATCCTACAGAAATGAGGCCACCACCTACAAAGGCAAGAAGGAAGCCTTAGGAAACTGGGCCCAAGTTCCTCAAGTTCCTCGTTAGGGTCTGTCTGTGGCAGAGGGTTCCAAGACCCTTAGCCTGCAGTTGTATGTGAGTCTTCCGAAAAGGCTCCTGCACCCTTTTAAGTGGTAGGCTTAATTGTTTCTTGTTTTGGGGGGTGTTTCTTGTTTTTATTTTTTGGTAATTGATGTGACATGTGCCTCAGAGGTATGCACTGAGGTCCAATTGAGGGTTTTTTTTTTTTTTTTTGGTTTTGTTTTGTTTTGTTTTGTTTTATTGGAATTAATTAATTAAAGAGGGCAGCTGAGAGGGGCCAGAGTCAGTGCCAAACTCTGTAACCCTAAACCAGCCAACCCACCCAACCGGCTGTACCACCTGAGAAACATCCGGAAGTTCTCAAGAAGAGAACTGGGGAGCAGGGGAGGAATTAGGGGCTGCTAGGGAATTCTGGGCACCTCAGATTTCACACACACCGAGGACGGACTCTTGAGGACTCTTAGAGGTTACATGGTAGCCGCAAAAGGAAAAAAAAGGTCAGAGGAGATCTGTGAGATTACCAGCCCGGGAACAAGGGGCCTGGAAGGGCAGTGATTGGCAGGAGTAAGAATAATGGAGCCACCAGAGCGTCCGCTTAAGGAAAGGACCGGTGAGTGGAGTCGGAGGAGGCGGAGCCTGGTCCTGGAGTTGTGGGGGCGGGCACCACGTTGCCTGAGGGCTCAGCCTTCAGAGGTATTAATTAAACCCAGACCTGAGGTTGTTAACAAAGCTGTGGCAGCTTTTCATAGGAGTTGGGTTAATAACAATAACAATAACAATTAAGGATGAGGAGACCTTATCTGGAGCAAGTTTTTCTTAGAGGTTGTACCAATAAGTCTTTAATTCTCCTGGCCCCTCCGGGCCACATTTCCTAGAAAGTAAGTGAGAGTTTGAGAGGGTTACCCATTGCCCTGGTGCACCTGAGATGCATTTGCCAGCCCTCAAGGCCTACTTGCCTTTGGTTTGTGGCTTTGTTCTTTACTTCATTACTTGGAAATAAAAGCCCAAGATTTCTTTTCAGATTTCATGCTGGGGGCTTGGGGGGTGGGGAGGGTGGGAAGGGATGGCTCAGTCTCGAAGAGCACCCACAGCTGCTCAGGGAACCAGGATTTGGTTCCCACCACCCACCCACGTGGCAGCTCACAACCTCTTGCCAATTCCAGTTTCAGGGTTTCTGACGCCCTCTTCTGGCCTCCACAGGTACCAGTCACTCATGTGGCACACACGTAAGGATATGCACATACACATAAAATAAAAATGAACCTTAAAAAAAAAAATCCATGAGCTCTTCAAGTATTCTGCATTGTTTAGTCTCTGAAAGGAGACTTAAAGAGTATGGAAATATAGGCATCTACATCACAGGATGCCTGGACAAGTCTGATGTGGAAACTGAAATCTGTCTTGAGAACACCGGGCAGGACAATGAGACAAGGCTATGACATATTTGGAGTGGAATGGCTGGCACAGGGCTCAGCTTTGGCCTTCAGTCACGATAACCTGGGCCAGACATGGTGCTACACTCCTTTAATCCTAGCACTTGGGAGACAGAGGCATGTGAATCCCTACAAGTTGAGTTCAAGACTAACCTGCTTTACATAGTGAGTTCCATGCCAGACAGGGCTACACAGAAAAACTGTCTGAAAAAAGCAAAGTGGCAATCTCAATATACTTCAACAGTATGAGTAATCTGAGCTCTCTTTAGAGCCCAGAGAACAAGGCTGATGTATCCATTAGTGACGGGGGCTTGTCTGTGTTTGTCCTGAAACATAGACCTGGGCAGCAAAAGTGTCTCTGTTGTGAAGACGGCAGGGACCAGTGTCCAGTCTTCTGACCACCATCCCTCCAGAAACATCACTTTCTTTCTCTCCTCTGTGTTACCACAAAGAACTACCTATAAAAAGGATGCTAGAACTTTCTGGACTTGAATACTGATTTACCTTGCAAATCACATCACAGAGCACAGTAGAGTATTACTTGTAATGCCAGGGAATGGAATGTTCTCGTTAATGATAAAGCACTCTTCGACAGTTAGTAATATTTCGAATATACTTACATTAAAATTATTCGTTGTTTATCTGAAATCCAAATTTCACCGGCTGACTTCTGTTTTATTCGGCAACCCTTTTGATAGGCAACCTGCTAGACCTAAGAGAAGAAATCAACAAGGAGAAGAGAGAGAGGGGCTTGGTGCCTTGGTAGAAAGTGGGGACAGACAGGATGGTCAAATGTGTGTAAGAGCATCTAAGAAGCCAGAGCAGGTGACTGCCAAGTCTGTTAGGGGTATATCATCCCACTGGGCACCTGGCTGAAACATTACCAAGTCTTCAAATGGCCAAATGTCAAGTTAAACACTGTTGCAGAAACCTCAGGGGGTATTACATTAAATAAATGAACAAATAGGGAGAGATGGCTGGAGAGATGGCTCAGAGGTTAAGAACATTGCCTGTTCTTCCAAAGGTCCTGAGTTCAATTCCCAGCAACCACATGGTGGCTCAGAACCATCTGTCCTGAGACCTGGTGAGACAGGCACACATGCAGGCCAAACACTGTATACATAATAAATAGATCTTTAAAAAAATAAATAAATGAACAGATAAATAAATAATGTTAAATAATTAAATAAGTGTCATGGCTGGTAGTCCCAGCACTTGGAAAGCTGAGGTAGGAGAATCACCATGGGCCCGAGAGGCCAGCCTGGGCTCCATAGTAGCTCTAGGCAAGCCTTGGTTACAAAGTAAAACCTTCTCCCAAAAATACAGAATAAATAAATAAATATCAAGCCAGGAATGGTGGTGAATAACTTTAATTCCAGCACTCAGGAGGCAGAGGCCAGCCTGATTTACAGAGTGAGTTCCAGGACAGCTAGGGGTTCACAGAGAAACCGTGTCTCAAAACAAAACAAAACACCAAAATAAAAAACAAACCAACAGATCATCTACTCTTTAACACCCAGAACAAATCTCACCAGAAAAGGAGGACAGATGTAGGTAGCTTCCAGCCTTTCATTTCGTTATGCCAACAGAGGCAGCAGGTCAGTGTCATCCAGAGGCTTGTAGCATGACGAGTTCTTCATGTCATAGGATCCCTGGAGCTTGGGTGGCTCCTTCCTTCCCGTGCTGATGAGCCGTACAGTGGGCTAGGTTCTGTTTCTAAGCACTGAACACCAAGATACTTACAGTTTACCGAATGGTTCCTCCTGTCCTAATTCTCATCACTGTTACCCCATATAATCTGAACCACGAGGGAGGAGGAAGGTATCCCTATTTTACGGACAAGGAAGCCAAGGCACAGAGACCGTGAGTTGGAAATGACATAAGGGCACATTGGTCTTAATGGCAGAGGCAAGAGCGAACTGGAGTAGTTAGGGCCTACGCCTGCTTTTTTCTTTCCCTAAGATTTTTTTCTTCTTTTTTTAATGTGGATATGTGAGTACCTACCATGTGATTTTTTTACCACATGCGTACCTGGAGCCTGGAGCTGCAGTTAAAGCTGGTTGGGATCTGGGAACTGAATCCTCAGGCTGCCAAGCCGTCCCTCCAGTCCCCACACCAGCTCCTTTAACCACAGTGCTACAGCACCTGGCACCCCAAGCTCCACTCAGATTTCTTCACCAGCCCCTGTCGCGCCTGAGTAGAATAGTAGCCTCCCTCCGCCCCCTAATTCCCACATCTGCTTTTCTGAACCTGTGAGCATGTCACCACACACCGCAAAAGAAACTTTGCAAGGTGACTGAGTTAAGGGGTGTGGAGTTCACGCTGATTCTAATGAGCCCAGGGCTGTCACAGGAGAGCCCTTGGAAGACGGAGGCAGAGGAGTGCTGGAGTCTGAGCTACGGTTAGGGAAGCAGGACCGAAACCGTGTGAGGCTGGCTGCGAAGATGGAGGAGGAGGTGAGCCGAGGATTGAGGGGCTGCCCTGAGGAGCAGAAGCAGGAGCAGGCTGGTGGCTATCAAAGGGGACACGATGCTGCCCACTGCAGCCCAGTGAGACTTCTGGCCTCCGGAATGGAAGGTGACACGTTTGTGCGGCTTTATGCTACCCAGTTTGCGGTGATTTGCTGGAGCATCCGCAGGAGATACATCCAGATCTCCACAGCTTACGTGGAAATGTTTGGAAAGACATTCCAGGACTTGCCCGAATGCGGGGTCCACTTCACTGCTCCTACTCCCCGTGCGGAAAATCTCCAGCATCTGTGACAGGCCGTGCTCTTTGGTCTAAGTTTTTTCCCCATACCAGGTCTTCCACCTGGAACACCCAGTCCTTATTTGATTACCTGACAGAGTCTTTGTCCTTTACAAGTCAGCTCAAGTGCCACCTCCTCTGGGAAGCCTTCCCTACTTCCCTCACAAGGCCTTGAGCCACTTCCTCTGCATTCTGCTACATTTTATATTCAATCAGGTTAAAGCAGGACCTGAAGTTTAAGACTCTCTCTATTCCCACCCTGGGTTATAAGCTAGTTGAGGAGGTTAGGGTTTCCTCTTTCCTCTTTGGTATCCTTTAGCAGCCATAAAATGAAGGCTACCAAGGCCTAGAGATTTTCCTTGACTACCAGTGTGCCCTAGGCCAGTGCTGTGGTTCTCTGACTCTGTTTTCCCATCAACAGTGTGCCTTGGGTGAACTCCTGCTTTCTTTTCTAACAAGAGGTGAGGAAATGAGACGAGACAGTGTTTCAGCTTGAAGAAATAAAGGTGCTGGGCTGGGATGTAGCTCAACTGGTAGAGCGTCTAGCATACACCAAGCCATTGGTTTGATCCCCAGCAGAGTAAACTGAGTGTGGGGTGCACATCTGTAATCCCAGCACTTAGGAAATGGATGCTGGAGGATCAGAACTCTTGAGACCCCTGTCTCAAAAATGGGAGGAGGGGGAGGGGGGAAGGACGATGATGAGGTGGTAGAGGAGATAATGATGATGATGATGATGATGATGATGATGATGACGACGACGACATTATCACTATCCAATAGTCCCCCCCCCCCCCATGTACACAACTTCCTCTTCAAGTCTCAATCCCTTAGACTGAGACATGGTTCTGGAGAAAAACTTCACTGCAGAGAGCCACGTCTGCCTTGGTCCTTATCAAACCTCCAGCATTTACACTGCTCTTTAAGTCTCAGGTGAGGTCTTCCATGTTGGCAGGTGACAATCCTACAGAAGGCTTCCCCACATTCTTTGGATTCCTGGTTTCTTCCTCAGGTGAGCAGTGCTGTTTGGAATCACAGGACAGCAGATTTCCCCACAGGTAACTGATCTCCATCCAGGTAACTGGACCCCATGGTATTGTGAAAGATGTCCTCCTGCCTCCAAGCTGCCCCCAGGGCTCTCCATGGTGCATCCAAAGGCAGGGATTCTGTCTATCAGGAATCTAACTGATGTTGTATAAGATGTTTCTCTACCCAAGCATGCTGTGGGCCTTGACTACTCTAATGGCGGCCTTTCAGGGCACATTCTCCCATGATTAATGAGAAGAATAAGGATAAGAAGGACACCAAGTCCTACAACTCCTGCTCTCTCCACACTTACAACTTGCTTGGGGAACCAAGACTCAGGGGTGTTATTCAGCTAGGCAATATCAGGCGTGTATAGTCAAAAATATCAAGTAGCACACCTTATGCAATAGAACTAGAATTCAGAGAAAGGAGAGTTCAAGCAAGGCTTGACGGGGTGGGGAAGGTGGTTTTAAGTGCATGGAGTTGAGCCGAGGCACACTAGGATGAAAGCTAGATGGTTAAAGGGTGTGCTTGGCTGTGAGCTACAGAGAGGTGGCCCAAGGTAGGGACACATTGGTTCCACAGGGCAGCAAAAAGGAGAGGGACTCGGGATGGGAAGGGAGGACAGGGAGAAGAGGGGAGGAAAGAGAAAAGAGGAATGGGAGAAAAGAAGGGGGAAGAGAAAGGAAGGGAAGGGGAGGGAGGGGAAGAGAGGGAAGGGGAGAAGAGGAAAGGAGGGAGGGAGAGGCAGTGAAAGAGGGGAGGGAAGGGGGAAGGAGAAGTAAGGGGAAGGGAAAGGAAGAGAAGGGAAGGGGGAGGGGAAGGGGACAGGCGGGAAGGGAAGGGGCCCTTACTCTTGTGATGACCTACCCTTTGATTTGGGAAACTCCACACTTAGGGTAACATTTTGACCATGTTATTTCCCATACCTGTCTCACTCTACAGCCCCAAATACTTTTCACTGCTGCCAGTCACACCTAAAGACAACTGCTTTCCTGCTGGTTTCAATGGGCACAGCAGCACCTCTCCCAGCATCTGCGGGAGCTATGCCAGTTTCATGACCAAGAATTCTACCCCTGGGCCAAGGTGCCTTGGAGACAGAGCCACCAAGTTGCAGGAAGGACCCTAGGAAAGCCCCAGGAGATCAGCCAAGCATGTTCTGGCTTCCATCCGCTTCCCAGTTATCAGGTCCTTTCACGATTATCCATAAGGAATGCTGATCTTTAAGGAAATGAGGGGATCAGATCCGAAGGCTTCCTGCTTATGTTGGTTTATAGAAGTTGTGCATTCAGAGCAGGGAACAGTTCATAACTTGCCATGTGCTCTGGGGCAGATAAGCAAGAAGGAGGACCTCGTAGCATCTTGCCTCGGTGAGACGGTTGGAAAAGACTTTTCTTCTGATTAGAGTGTGAAACGCCCACCCCACATCAAACAACCATGTTTGAGCCTTCCTTCATGGACAAGTCTCTATCTCTCTTCCTCTCCCTCCCTTTCCCTCTCCCTCTCTCCCTCTCTCTCTCACAGAAGAATTACCTACCTCTATAGCTAGAGCCAAGGACAGTGGATTTCTTTCCCCACAAGATGGCTACCCTATGGGTCAGGGGACAGGAGCTGTCCTTTCCTGAGTGAGATGGTGAGGGCCTTTGGCAGCCCTTCATAACTTCTGTTGTTTAAAGGGTGGATGGGTGAGGTAGGCATGCTTATGCACACACATGTGTATGGAGGCCAGAGGTCAACATTGAGTTTCTTCCTTAGACTCTCGCCATCTTAGTTTTGAGACTGGGTCTCTCATGGCATCTGGGGCTCACTGACTTGGCAAGACTGGCTGACCTGCAAACCCCTGACAGCCTCTGGGCTGTGCCTCCCCCCACGCTGGGGTTACAACATGAGCCTCAGTGCTGAGTTTTTTGTTTTGTTTTGGTTTGGGGTTTTTTTGCTGTTTTTTGTTTGTTTGTTTGTTTGTTTGTTTGTTTATTTTCATGACTGCTGGAAATTGAATTCAGGTCCTCATGCTTGTTTAGCAAGCATTTTACTAACCAAGTCCAGCCTCCAAAGGGATTTTTTTTTTCTTTTTTCAAAAACAGATATTTTAGACTCTGACTTCTGTCTCTGTTTCCTGTATCACTTCCAGAGGATGCTGGCTCCAGGAATGGAGACTTTTTCCACTGCAGGAGAACAATGTGGTGCCTCCTGGATCGTGCCGTGTGAGCGTCTCACTAGAAGCTTCTGCAATCCTCCCAGCGAGGCACTCTCTGAGATGTGAAGAAGCGGGAAGGAAGTCTCTATGGGACCATGGTGGGCAGCACGGAAGAGCTTGGGGGGCAGCCGTGAGCGCTGCTCTGTCTCACTGCATCTGTCTCCATTAGCGTCTGTCCTCCCCGCTCAAGCCGGTCCCTCCGCTCCATGGCAGGAGGGCCTATCTTCCCTGCGACACACAAAGAGCGACTTCAGTGGCTGTCACAGTGCCTGGTCCATAGCCTCTGTTCTGTAGATGTTTGCCGAGTGAGTTGGCTATAAACATGGGAAGGTTTCCCTTGGAAAGGTTGATGCTGCTGTTCAGATGTTGAGCATTGCAGCACTGATATTTGTGTGCTACGGATGGGAAGGAACGAGGTTGGGAATGGGAAGGGACTCTACTGGGCAGTAAGAATGAAAGCTTGTAGCAGGGTCCTGAAAACCCCCGGAAGCTCAGAGGGTATCTAATTGGCTTTGAGAAACTGCTGTGGGCTCTCTGGATCACTCCTAGAAGACAGCAAGTGAGTGGAAGTCTTCACAGTGAATCTAAAGATGGCCCGACACAGTGGGGCGCTCAAGAGATACTCTTGTGCTGAGGGCTGGATCTTTTGGCTGGGTGGGTATCAAGATACCAGCAAGCCTTCTTGTGAAGCTTGCTTCCTGTGTGTGTGAAACTCCAGGGAACAGGCAGACTGATGGCATAGGTAGAGTCGGCAACCCCCACTGCCAGGGAGGAAGACGATGTCTCTGGACTCAACTCAGAGGTTCTCCGAACAGAAAGACTTGTTTTTCTCCAGAGAGCTTCCTGAGAGCAGAGAAGATATCTCACGTATCTCACATGGTAACCAGGTAACCTGCCATGCTCGTAGTAGCTGCTTAATAAGCTCAAGTGACTGCGTAGCTGTTGGCTGGCTCTGGGAGATGTGGACCCCAGGAGCGCTAGTGGAGGCTGCTGGAGCACTTTCTTTCTGTCCTCCAGCTCCCACAGCCTATTCTGCGTTGACCCGCTTTTTTCCTTTAAGCCAGAAGATGTTTCCAGGGGCTGCTGCTCTCTAAGTGATGTGCACGGGTGGAGAAAGGAGATGGGGCCTCAGCCCGCTGACAGTTAGAGCGCTCCCTTCCTTCTCCAGTGGGTGCCTAGAGGGCCAGAACCCATTCCACTCAACTCCTTAGCTAGCCATCAGTCTTCCCTTCTCATTCCCTTCCAGCCCTTCTCCCTTTCATCTCAGCTCAGCGAGCAGAGACACGTCCCCGCTGGAAGCTGGTGTTAAGAAACGTGGCCACAACACACGTGGACACACACAACACACACACACCTTTCTCAGTCTATGAGCCTTTGTCTGGCCCTTTGCTCCTGGGCCTGACCCATCTTTATGAGATCAAGGCTCTTTCTATCCCAGGATGCCGAACCCTGGCCTCCGATGGGACAGAGCTGGTCATTTTGCACGTCTCCAGCCTTGCCCTCCCTTGGGGGCTTGTGGAAGATCCACCCATATGGCAGAACCTTCCAGAGAGACTCGAAACCAGGAGCCTGACCTCATGATGCCCGAAGCGCCTGGCACAGAAGGTACCAGCTCTGATGTCCTGGCCCAAGCCCAGTTCTCGCTTCTAGAATCCACACCTTCTCTGGCTCTCCTCCAGCCCTACCCCAGCTTAGAGAGAATAAGAACGGCTGCAGGAAGGACGTGGTAAGGGAAGGACGGGTCTCTGCTGAGGGATCTAGGCCAACTCATTCCTTGCTGATGTGTCTCAGTTTCCCCTGGAGGAACTCTGACAGTGTGCCCATGGTTACAAAGGAGCTCGGAACGGCCAGAAAACCCTGGTTTTATGTCCTGTTCTGTTGCTGCCAGGAGTCACCTGCCCCACCCCTTGGCTAGCTGGTGACGCTTGCCCAGCCAGGCAGGGTCCTGCAGGATGAAAGTTCCAAGAAGCCCAAGCAGGAATAATAATGATAATCATCAACGGTGGCGGCGTCTTAGCCTCCTGGGAATGCAAGGCCCCACGCCCTGCGCCTCACACCCCAGGACACTGCGAGGGCTCCTTTCCCTGCATTTTATTGCAGAGATCCCACACTCTGCCAGTCCCGGCCCAACCCACCTGAGTTCCCAAGAGCTTCAGTCCAGAGGCCGCTGGCCTCATTCACCACCCAGGCTCCATGGGAAGATTTAGCTCAACAAGACCCAAGCCAACAGCAGTCAAGGCCACCCAGCCCAGCTGCTTAAAAACTTGGGCTCCAGGGTTTCCCAGAGAAGCTATCGGTCTGCCTCTGGTGCAGGGCGCTTTCCCACGGACCCGTCCGGTGTCTGCTCAGCCCAAAGGCTAAAAACCTTGCAAGTGTCCACCTGAATCTCCATCCCCCAAGAACTCACCTCAGGGCCCCAGACAGGTTTCGTTTTGACCTACAAACTTTCCAAGGCTTGTACTGCTCAAGAGTGATCAACGGGGGTCTAGGCGGGGGAGCGGCTCTCACCTCCAAACCCATTTGCAACTCCTCCTGCCATATTTGCTGGCTGAAGGAACGACTCAGTTTGGCATACCCCACACATCTCCGTTTGTGGAGTTGGCTCCTTCTTTGGGAATGTCAGTGTCTCCATCTCCACTTGATCAGACTCTCTGACCCTTCAAAAGTAGGCCTTGACCCGTGACCTTGTCTGACTCGTGTCCCACTCTGGTTCTTCTTCATTTGAACCTTTCAAGTCACTGTCATCCATTTGTGCCATACTTACCTGTATATCCTAACTTACCCACAAGGTCATTTGTGCCCTGGCATCTCCTCCATGTTTTCTTGGCACAAGGCTTCTCACCCAAAGCATAAATCTCAATGAATGTGTGTTGGATATAAATTGTGGAGAAGAATAATTTTCACCCTGTTAAATTCCTCACACAAATGTACTTTTAAATAGGAACACATGATTATTTTACTACAAAATGGTGTGGAGGGAAGGGAAGAGAACCTCACCCTCGGTTTCCTGGCGGGTGGGCTGCAGGAACCTCAGTGAAGACTTCATCCCCATGGCTTTGGTCCCTAGACACATAATGCTTTTTATGACCAGTCACTGGCCCAATTCACTATTGGCCTCTGTCTAGAAAGAGATAGGTTCTTCCAGAGAGAACGACAGTTCCCCCGCTTTCAGGCTTCCAATTTTTTTCTAAACCCCAACATCCGTCATGCCCTCTAGGACTCGTGCCCTAGGGACCCCTAGATTTATACCGTGTCAAGAGAACAAGAGTTGGAGTGCTATAGACCCCTAGCCTGGCTGTTTCACTTGAACCCCTTCAAGACACATCTCACCAACCACAGCTGCGAGTGTTGTTAATAATAGTTACAATAGCTCAGCAACGTCCCGTATTTACCTAATGCTTTTCTCCAGGGAGCTCAACTAATCTTTCTCTCATCTCCAGAAGGAAGGGAAGGACTGAGGCGATGAAGGACAAGCGAGCCACTGCAGCCACGCTCCCGAATACAAGCATCCTTTGTTCTATGGGATAAATACAGTCCTCAGTATTTCAGCTGCGCAGCGCCGATGAAGTAGAAAGGCAGCTTATTCTCTGAGATCCAAGACCCACGACTTAAAAACTTTTGCTGAAATCAAAGCCTTTGTGAAGCATTACATCTTGTTGTTGTTTCGAGGCAGGGTCTCAGTGTGTATCCCTGACTGTCCCAGAACTAACTGCCTACTCTTGAACTCACAGAGACCCACCTGTGCTAGAACGAGAGGCGTGCGCCACTGTGTTTGGCTAAGGTATCAGTCACATCTTATCAGCAATAACATTTTAACATGGACGCCAGTATGTGCTTAATTATTTCAGGTGTGTGTGTGTGTGTGTGTGTGTGTGTGTGTGTGTGTGTATGTCTGTGTGTGCGTGTATGAGCGTGCAAGTTGTCTGTGTGCTTGTTCGTAGAGGCCAAAGGAGGACATCAGGAGTCCTGCTTTATCACTTTCCATGCTAGTCCCTCAAGACAAGGCTCTCTCACTGAACAGGGAGAGCCAGGTTGGTGGTTAGCAAGCTCCGTCGATCCACTTGTCTCCATGCCCCTATCCCAGCACTGAGGCTACAGCTCCATGGGCCCAGCCACACCCAGCCTTTCCCATAGTTGCTTCGATCCAAACTAAGGTCCTCGTGCTTTCACAGCAAACACACTTAGCCCAGGCCTCGTGCTGTCCGTACTGGACTTACACTTGCTATGCGGCAGAGGCTGGCCCAGAACTCCTGATCCTCCTGCCTCCACCTCCCAAGACACGCATTTCACCAGGCTCAGTTACCTCTAATGCGCAGCCTGCTACCATTAATAGCTGAAGCCATTGTATATATTTGAGGTGACTCATTTTTTTTTTTTTTTTTTTTTTTAACAATGACACAACTTTCCACTTCAAATTGTTGCCTTAATAATCGCAAAAATCACTTTGGCCATGTTGCTGTTAGACCTCATTAAATGGTCACTGTTTTAACATCGTAATGGGATTATGTGAAGACATGTGAAGAGGAGGGGCCAACTTTGCTCTTTCCTTCTTATTTCCCCCTTTCGATTTAAAAATATCTATTCTGGACTGTATGTGGTGTATGTGTGTGTGTGTGTGTGTGTATGTGTGTGTGTGTGTGTGTGTGCACGCGTGCGCACGTGTCTGCAGGTGCCAGCGCACACCTGGAGGCCAGAGGAAGATGCTGGCTGTCTTCTTCTATTACTGCCTACTTTATTCTTTTGAGACAGGGTCCCACCCTGAACCTGGAGCCATGTTATAACCGGCAAGCTCCAACGGCTCTCCTGTGTCTGTCCCTCACAGCACCAAGATTACAGGGGCCCACAGCCACATCTACAGCTTTTACATAGGTCGTGGGTTCAAAGCTCAGGCCTCCATGTAGGGCCTCCCCAACTCCTCCTCCTCTTTTATTCTCCTTGCGTGTATCTGTTGATTTGTACATCTGTGTACACACACTTGCGGAGGGACTGTAGGAAAGCCAAAGTTCGACACTGGATGTCTTCCTTAGTTACTTTCCAGCCACCATTTTTTTTTTTTTTTTTCTTGAGACAGGGACTCTCACTAAACCTGGAGCTTGCTGATTCCGCTAGACTAGCTGGTCAGAAAGTGCAGGGCTTCTTCGATGTCTGCTTCCTCAGTGCTGGGATGATGGCCACTGCTGCCACACCTGGCCTTTCCTTTTGTTTTGTTTTCCAGACAGGGTTTCTCTGTGTAGCCTTGACTGTCTTGGACTTGCTTTATAGAACAGGCTGGCCTCAACCTCACAGAGATCTGCCTGCCTCTGCCTCCTGGATGCTGGGATCAAAGGCGTGTGCCACCATGTCTGGCAATTATTTGATTTTTTTTTTTTTTTTTTTTTTTTTTTGAGACAGTCTTGCTATGTTGCCCAGGCTGGCCCAGAACTCATGACCCTCCTGCCCCAGTCTCCTGAATGCTGAGATTGCAGGTGTGACCCCCTGCACTCAACTAAGAGCAAATTCAGCGGCAACTTTGAGCCTGTCCCTGCCAACTCTCCCACTCGCTCCCGCCACTCCAGAGACATCAGCGCGTGTGCACGTTCCCTCCGACTTAACTGTCATTCTCTTGGCTTCCTTCTTGCCAGGACCAGCTGGCCTGGCCCCCTCCGAACACTAAGGACAAAGGGTTTATCTTTGCCTCCTGGATATTGGTACAAAAATACTCTCTCGTACTACCCTGAAATATGATTACTTAGTTGTGTGTATCCTTCATCGGACATTAGTCTCTGAACACATGGGTCTGGGCTGTATTTCCTGAAGATCATCTTCTTTGCTGTTCCCTCCTGGCCGGGTGTGTAGCAGGCTGTCTGCGAGAGGCCTCCCATTGGCACTAGAGATACATGGGGACGTCTCTCCCCCCACCGCCCCCCAGAACTGCCTCCCATCACACCTTCCACAGCCAGCTTTAAGAAGCAGCTTGTAGGGACCAGTAACTTGGACATTCTTCCCCGAAATGCTAAGCCGTCTACTTTCCACAGATATGAAAACAGACGCTGGGGTCAAGTTCTAGTTCAAGGCCATGCTAGTGTGAGTGTGTGTGTGGGGGTCAGGCTTCCTACACCCAGAGCCCTGATGGAGACCTCTTCGGCACCGACTCCCTGCTGACTGCCTCCATTCAGCTCTCTGCCCTCCCTATTCTTTCTTCCCCCAAAGAGCAGGCGAGGTTCCCAACCAGCCTAATGCCCTCCCCACTCTCCGCAGGGTGCACGTTGTGGTGGCTCAGTGGTTCTTCCTTCCCAGGGACTACATCAAGCGTGACAGGCTCTCCTCTGAGGCTCCACGGTCCACTGACCTGAAGGTCTCTGCTTGTCCATCTCAAACCTGGGTCAAGACTTTTCACGGGGATCCAAATTCTAGTCTCGGTGGGTGGATCCAGATAATTCCTCTGCGAGGCCCACTACAGATACCTGTGGAGCGTGCCTCAGAACCTCCACCTGATCCACTCTCAGCCATTAATAACAGCTTTTTTTTTTTTTTTTTTAATTTTTTTCCCTCTAGACTGCCTCCCCACACTTCCTTCCTGTGCTTATTTCTCTTTACAACAAGGCTGGGTATTTTTAACCTGAGGTTTCCATTTATCTCATCTTGTCTATCTGATCGGGACAGGGCTGGGGGAGGGTACAGGAGCTGGTATGCCCATAAGGCTAGGAGTGTCTGGCTAGTCATCAGTGCTGAGCCCAGCTTCTGCTCTGTTCTCTGGACAGAGCTCTCCCTTCCTGGCTTTGGAAATGAACGCTGTACATGACTCTGGGGCAAAACTTTGGGAACCACATAGGCCACCAGAGAAGCTCACACCAGTGATGTTGGCAAGGCCGTATGTGTAGCTAGGAAGAGACCAAGGAACATCTTGCACCTTATGGTCATGCATCCTTGGAACAGCCACCAAGATGTGTCTCTGTCCACTCTATGAGCATGGTACCCCTCGGGAACCTTCAGACAGCTGCCTCAAGGACTCCCTCCCTTATCCCTTCCTCCCTTTGTTCTCTAGTGCTGGAGAATTGGACCCAGGGCCTTGAGCTTGTCAAGGCTCTGCACTGAGCTACACCCCCAGATCTTGCTGCAGTTTTCTGTGACCTAACTCAGAGAGCACCATGCTCCCTTCCTCCCATCTGCTTCCACCTTGTCCTCTCTCAGCCCTATCCTGGCACACCTGTCATTTTCTACTGCATTCCCTTCTCCATCCTCACCCTTCCACACCTGTGTCACTTCTCTGCACCCAGATGCTTAATAAAACAAACAAACAAACAAACAAACAAAAAAAACAAAAAACAACTTTTATTCAACATCCAAAAACTGCAAAGAAAGGATGACTGGGTGGTTAGAGTTCTGTAGTATGTGTGTTTTCTTCTCTTTCTCCATCCAGTTTTCTTAAAAAACAAAACAATAACAACAGGTTGATAGCAGAGAGGTTTCTTCTTCTTCCTCTTCTTCCTTTTTAGTGGCTGACAGTGACTCAACCCGGCCTGCCAGACCCACATCTAATGTTCTCCAAAGTAACTGATAGTCACAAAGCTCGCCTGAGGCTGGACGGTATCCTACTTTGTACTCTGAGTCACACTGTAAAGGATTAGACACATGTTCAACATTCCAGCATGTCTGACGGCAGCTTTTTAAATGATATTTATTTTATGTGTATAGCTGTGTTGTCTGCTTCTATGTTTGTGTATCGAAGGCCTGAATGCCCACAGAGGGGCAGAAGAGAGTGTTCAGACTCCAACCCTAGGGAGGGTTGGAGTTACAGAGAGTTGTTCGCCAACACGTGGGGGCTGAGAATACAACCAGAGTCCCCTAGAAGAGCAGCAAGCACTCTTAACTGATGAGCCGTCTCTCCAGCCCCTCTGGCAGTACTTCTTAAAATTTGAGTTCCTTTTGAACATTTGCCCTCTGTCTGCTGCCTCAGAGAGTTTTCAGTTAGGCAGCCCAGCTCCCATGGGAGCTGGTGGCATGCAGGACTTGTCGACTGCACCAAATATCTGTAGTTCTCATCTGCAGCCTCCACCCTGGCCACACCTCTGTTTCTGGCTCTTGTAACTGTCCCCACCACACCCTCTGGTTCAGCTGTGCCGTGGCCCCATGTGGCAATGCTTCCTGGCCCCATCGGGAGCCAGCTCTGTGTGGTACCCCTCTTCCTATTGGTTGTTTTAGTCTGCAAACATTAATTGATCAGACATTAACTGAGCATCCCAGTGAATAGAGAAAGATGTTCTGCCTCTAGGGACAGCACATTCTCACAACTGTTTCCGAAAGAGCTGCTTTAGAGGTGTTCCATGTCACAGTGGTAGGGCCTAAGGGGACCCAGGCAGGGTTGGGTTTATCAGAAAAGCCTTCCCATGGGGGAGGTTGGAGCTGTACCCTCATTGTTAGGGAGTCTGGCCAACCTGGGCAAACAGGTAGAAAGCCCATCCTGGCCACGGGACCAAAATTCCTTGTCATCTCTACCAGGGAGTTGTTTTCTGAATCCTGGCCTGTTCCTTCCCCTCTGGGCTAACTGGCTGATAAAGACTAGGGGCCAGCCTCACCAAAGAGGAAGTGGACTGGCTTCCTGTTTGTTTGTGACTCTCAGAGCTGCATGGCACAGCTACCTACAGCAATCAGACAGGGCAATCTGGCCTGAGCCAGTCCTGAGGCCCTTGTTTGCTGAACAGCACAGCGTCCACAGCTGGGTGTTTCAGCCCTCCATCCCAGAGCATGGGTGCTCAGGAGGATGGCAGCTGGAGCAGCTAGGCCTGCAGATCAAGGGGAGAGGCAGCAAGTTCCCCCAGGGAGCCAAAACCTTCTCAAT